TTAAAAATAAATTAATTATGAATTTTTTAAAAATTGTCCAATTTTCCCCTAAAATTTAGTTTAAAAAAGTCATATCTATAAAACAGTTTGCTAGATATATCTAATTCCATCCATTAAAATGTGTAAACATGTTTAAAAGTCTTCTCACTGAAAATTTGAGGACTATATAATAAGTAGTCTTTGAGAAAAAAGTACATAAGAAAAAATATTACATTTTGAGAAAACACGCTTTAAAATAAAAATTTGTAATTTTTTGAGCATTTACTTTTTTTAGTACTTTCTAGAAGTATATGAAGCATTTTTTTTTCACTCTCTGCTCATACAAAAGACTCTTCTAATTTTCTTTTTTTCATTATTTTAACAGTTTTGCCTTTTTTTAGGATCTCAAGATGCTTTCGTTGGGCTACACGAATCGTAAGTGTATTTCGTTTTTTGAAGCATGGCACACAGTTATAACTTGGTTCAATATCACAATGTTTTAAGATCATTGATTTTGTTACATGACTCATATTGAACTGTGCAATAACCATATTTACCCGTAAATTTAGAGTTTTTAATTCCTCTTGGAATCATTGACCATATGGTGTTATTAACTGACTCATTTGGGATCTGGAATCTTTCCGTGTAAACATTTTCTTAACAACATGGGATCAACTAGATGTCTAAAAAGGACCTTATTTAATTCATTATGATATATAGCCAGTGTGTATGTGTTTATGACCTTTCGTTACGTTCCACTTCTGTCTTTTGAAACATGCACTAGGCGTTTATACCTGCAAGCACAGTCCATGTTGAGGACTCTCGTTGTGGAAGACAGAAGAAAATTATAAACAACCCAAACAGCAGTTTTCATGCCGTGTAGATCATTGATATTATTTCTAATTGCCATACTATAATATCTTTGAATTTTTCCATCACTTAACTTTTTTTTCTGTTTCGTTTTTAAGATCCAAAAGACGTGTACCCATACACTCTTTTGGATAAGCCCAATACCCTTGATAACACCACATTTTTCCACTTGAACATAATATGGGGATTCGCGTTCTCATTAGAAACTTATGCAAGGAGAAACACAGATTCTCCTAGCAGAGCTCAAGGAGTCAAGGAGTATATAACTTCATTTAAAAAATAAACAAAAATACTTCTAATTAATGTGTATTTCCTTATACCATATATCATTTTAAAGAAAAATATTTTCACTATAAAATTTCAAATTTAAAAGTTTTGGGACCAATATATTAGGCTCTGTATATAGTTCTAGAGAGATGAGTGAGTGAATATTAACATCGCACTGTTCAGCTACACGAGGACTTGAACCATGGTCAAGTAACGAGGACGACCCTGAGCTGGCACACCGCTCTCCTAACTACCACACCACACCAACGGGAGGACGTTTGAGCTCTCGACAGAGTTAACGTGCCTCGCTCCCCTGAGCGGCGGGTCTTTAGTGGTACTTGGCTCGAACTCGAGACATGCCAGCCATGATCCGATACCTTGACCACTTGGCTACCGCGTCCCAGGTTCTAAGGAAATATCAATCTAAAGAAACTAATTTTACATTTCCAGACGTAAGAAATGTTGAATCGGTTTTTTAAAAGAAAAGTTCAATCATACCTCATGTTTAAACATTTATTATTATCAAAGAAATTTACCAAATATATATAATCAGATAAATCATTAATTTCAATTAAATAATCATTAATCCATATCTAATTATCAAGTAAAGCAACAATTTTTTAAAGTGCTTTATTTGAAATATATCTGTACTTCAAACACACATTTTTCGATGTGATAAATCTTATTTACTTAAGAGGACTAGTTTTTGTACAAAACGGAAGTTTATCGTAATATTGTGAGCTCCATTAGAGCGAAACAATCTACTTGGGATTGTTATTTTTATAATGAGAAAGATGAAATATATATAATAAACTATATATCTAAAATTATTATTAATTTATAGCAATTTTTTTTATAATATACTGTCTCAATATAAATAATATACTGTCCCATATATAAATTCTTCAGCCCTTTCTTTACAAAACGGTTAAAAAAGAAATTTAAACCTAAATTTTTAAAACTATGTTCTATGATATAATTTGTAAGAAAACAGATTTAACTGTATGTTGCAAGTCTTAAATAAAGAACTGAAGTAACTTACTTTCTTAATGAATGAAATTTTTTCAATAAATATTTCAATTCACGAAAACTTTGACTGGATTTACTGCAAAATTTTATTTCTTACTTTTATTTCAAAAGATAAAAAATAGCCTCGTATCACAGCAGTAATAGTTTTATAAACAATAAAACATTAATGCTTATAGATATACATATCTGAAGAAACTGTGAGAATATTTTTTTGTATCTAATGGGATGCATTTTGGCAGCTAAGCCTTTGTAAATACGGCAAGTCTCCAAGTGTGAGAGCCATTTCATCGGTGGTACCATCTAGTGGGGTCTCTCGCTATGAAATATTTAGACGCTTGAATTTCTTCAAGCTCTCGTCGGATGTTAAATATTGCCTTGATTTATTTTTGCCAGGAGAACTAGAGCCGAACTGATACTCAAGGGATCCTTTAGATCAGCGATACTCAACCTAGGCCACCGAGCCTTTTTAAGAGGCCCTGTCATGGCCCATTGCTCTGAGAAATTCACTTGTTTAAGAACATTGTAATAAAAATTTTGGGGGAAATTCTTTGTCAAGAAATCAAATATATCAGTTTTGCTGTCGGTGTCATACAGGTACGAATTGATATTCTTATTCTTTTGGAACTGTTACGGGTAATGATAACAGACAACAGTGCAGTAGCAACAATTGATATGAGTGGAACTAAGTTTTAACTATCTTTCATATCTTGCAAGCAAAAAATATTGGAAGAAAATATATCATTTTAAGACGATTGGGAGATTGACAATTTTGTAGAAAACACAAATATGGATTAGTAATTGTTTGATTTATCAAGAAAGTGCTGTATTTAAAAAGTACCAACAAACGGGAATCATTCAACGACACTTTTTCTCAAAAATCTCTTTCAAGAGGTGATAAATAGGCTTTCTTGAATAATTTTTTCAACAGAAACAATTGTTTTGTTAGTGGAAATATAACACACACACAGCGGTAACAAAGTCCTCCTATAAAGTTTTTATATTATTTGTAATCATATGAAACCGTTTACCGATGCAGAAATTGTGAAAAGTTTTTCTTAAATGCTTCTAATTTAGTGTTAGTGAAAAAAATAAAAAAATTTAAAAAGATAATAATTAAAACAAGTAATATAAAAAAAATAGTTTTTAAGTCAATTTCCAATCTTAGATCAACAACGAAAAATTTTATTTTAGCTCTTTTATTAAATATTCAATTAACCAAATAGTATATACTTAGGACAGAATCACAACATTAAAGGTGAGTAGCCTTTTTAATTATCAATAAAAGATATGCGGGTTTTCTTTTTGCTCCAACTGAACTTTAACACATACTAACGACACATGATCCTCAAACTGAGGTTACATGGCAAACGTGGCCTATTTGAATTCAAATAATTAGTTTTAAAACAAATGTAATTTAAATTAAAATTAATTACTTGATGTCATCAAAATGATCCTGTAACAAATTTCAGCTCAATTCAGCCTTTTAAAATGTATTTTAATTAACTTAAAATTTCCAAAGGATAAATAAATATAAATACTCAAAATATATAAATAAATAAATATGTAGACAGTGCGAGCTAATAGTAGGAATTGAAAAAGCAAAACAGGGGTTGTAATAATTATCAATTTTCCACATTTTAAATTCCCAGTTTTATCCTTTGTTTTAAACTTTAGCAAATCTCCCTTTTTCATTCTTTGATTGAGACGCCGCTGAAATAAAATTTCTAGGACTTGAAATACTGAAATATCAATGAATCTTTACAAAAAACGTTGATTCACCACTGTTTTAGATGCTACATAATCATATGGCATGCGTGCTTATACTATTTTTGCACCCAGAAAACCTCTCAACTCTAGCCGGGATCGAATCCTCAACCTTAGGCTTTATAAGGAAGGCAGACTACACTGACCGAATCGCAATTTGAGAATGTAAATGGGAATTTAAACGAAAATAGTAACAGAAGTTTAGAAAATAATTTTATTAACCAAAACTTCACAAGAAACAATTCATATACAAATTTAAACTTTAAAATACTTAACATTTAAGGAATTTACTTTACAATCGTAAAAACACTTTTATTAAGCTATACTATCTACTTAAATATTAAATTAATACTATATATCTTCGCATGCAAAATAATTACATTTATAGAGTTAAGTAACATTTTCTCCTTTGCAATAATATCTTTAGGCAAAATCTAGCTTTTCTTCATGTTACTTCATCTAAAAGGCTCATCTCTAAATAATTTAGGTCTCTAAACAGGAATTATTCATTGCTACTGAAAATTATGAATCTTTTGATCTCAAAACTCTTGAATACACCCTTTTCTAAGAATTTTAAATAAATTATATGTACAGAGTTAAGAAATAAATTGGTAGTCAAAATAATAAATAAAATTTAATAATAAATCAAAATTTTGTAAAAATCATGAATTTATTAAATGAAGCAGATAACGTCTTATCAGCAAAGATTTTAAAAGATTATAATTAAAGTGATAGAAAGTATTTTATACGTAGAATTGAAAAGTATATATATAAAGAAATATTTATGTGGCTATATAATATGAATAAAAAGAAAATAAAATAAACGTTTTTAAAATATAAATTTAATTCCTAAAATAGGTCAACAAAGAAAAATTTTATTTTAGTTACTCTTTATTAAATAGTTACAATTAATATAAATATGTATATACATATGACAGAATCACAATATTATATATAAGTGACAAAAAAGAAAGCAATTTTCCATTTTCCTTCCTATGGATGGCGTTGGACTATTTTGTTCATTAATTCAATTTAATTATTCTAATAAAATAGTATAGTAAAAAAAGAAATCTCATTCTCAGAAATTAGGCCATCCTAGGTGGAATTCGAACCCACGATCATTTGGATTAAAAGTCCAAAGCGACAGCCATTGTGCTACAGGGACATAACGAATAATTTTCCTTTTTTTATGCTGTTGGATTATTATTTTTGTTTGTTACTAGTTATTCATCTATTAATTTAATGAAAGAATTAATATTTGAAAAAACTGTATGAGCATCAAGTATCATTCACTAAAAGTTTAAAAAAAATATTTGAACTTGAAATGGATGAATAGAAAGTATTTTATTAACGATTGAAAATTTGAACAAGATATATATAAATAAATATATATAGGGAAAGAGTGAACAAATAGTGGGAATTGAAAAAAAGACTCTAACCAAGCATTCCCCTTCTTTAAAATAATATTAACTTTTTGAAAAAAAATGGTAGAATTTTGAAGCATATGTTTATTTTGTTGTTTTTTTTCCTTTGTTTCTAGCAACAACGTTTTATTTTAAATTAGAAATATATCGTACATTTTAAATGAAGCATGCATTTTTCCATAAAGTCAATCGGGGCAGAATCTTCAGTGAGTCATTGAAGATTAATGTCTTTTGCGGAAAATTTTTTAGGAAAGCTCTCGCGAGGAGCACCCCTCTCATAAAACGAGATTCTCTTAATAATTGAAATGGCAAGCTTCATATAAAGCACAACTTTCGATCATCAAAGTTTGGATGTAAAAAAGAAAAAAAAACAACAGATTAACAATTGTGAGACGAAAAACTAATTCCAAATGGATTTTTCTTGAAGTGAAATTCTTTTAAAAAAATAACAATGTTACGTGTTTTTTTTCCAAATGAATTAAATTTATTCATGAAGAAAATTACATTTGTTCTTTTTCTTCCTCTATTTTAGATGATCACCCAGATTTTTTTGTAGAAATGCAAGAAGTAAGCCTTATACCGATTCAGTTTAATACTCTTTTCCGGTATTTTTGCTTTTCAAATACTGTTTTTTTTCACTCGAAAAAATTATGTATATCACTTTACAGCTGTAATTCTTTTGTTTTTACAAGAAAAAAACAGTTTTAGTATTTCAAAATTTTAATCAGTGATTAAAATGAATTGCTTTTCATTAAAAAAACTTTTAATTTTAAGTTAGTAATGTCAGTATGTAACACTACTACAAGGAACATTTTCTGAAATATCTCAATAAACTCATGAAGAAATTTAAGGATAATTCAATTTATTGTTTTTTCTCATTCTATATGCTAACAAGTTGGCACGATACTTGTATAAGCATAGTAAATTTCAAATCAATCAATTTATTTATCATTATTAATCATTCATTTAATTTCAACTCATTTAATTCTATAGAAAAGAGATGTACGCAACATTTCTTCAATTAATCACATTTTCAGCAAAACTTCACAGAATGTTATCACTTTTAAAAGATTCTTAAAAGTATTCTATTTGTAATTAACGTTATATAAACAAATAGAACCATTCCTAAATTAAAGATTCTTAAAAGTATTTATATTTGGTAATTAACGTTATATAAACAAAAAGAATTATTCCTATATTTATCCATTTTTAAGATAAGAGATGAACCTGAGCATTGACCAAAATTATGAAAATACTTTTTTCCGGAGTAAACTACAAGTAAAAAATTATTTGAAATAAGATGGAAATAGCTTATAATAAATCTTCAAAGTATTTTCTTGCTTAAATGAGCAGGCCTCAAAATTTTTTCATAATCAACTATCTTAAATTTTTTTTAATATAATGTATCTATTATGTGTCATGTTTGTATCGTTTTTTGGCATAAAATTTCACTTCTGTGTTTGACATGCCATTCTATTATCTACATTTTTTCTACTCAAACTATAATGCCGTTAAAAAGCGAAAGAAAGAATGGCAGTCAGTCCTCCATTAATCGAGACTTATTAATACGATTTGTCTTCATCCATGTGAGATATTACTCGATCTGTCATCCCCAGTTTCTTTTTCCCTTCGACTTCCTTTTTCTTACCTTTTATCCTCGCTGAAAAGATTTTATCTGATATCTCACACGCAAACTTCTAGTATTACGTCGAAAAATGCCTGCTATTGTACATTGTATAAGATCAGATTTCCCAGAATATCCTCCTATATTAAAAGGACTGCACGAAAATCATAGGGGAGTATATAAAAGGTTCAATTATGTAACTCCGTTATTGATACTGTTTACGGAATTTTATACTTCAAGTACACCATACAAATAAATACGTTATCAACAGTTATTATAAATACGCTTTGAAAATAGCAAATCTGATTAAAAAAAGAATTTTCTGACCAATAGTTTATGATCAATAATTGATTTGTTACAGAGATATATTATTTTTACAGTTGTTGACATAGGAAATAAAGTATCTAATTTTTTTACATCACGTTAATTTTTATAACAGAATTTTTCTTAAGCCTTTCTCAGCATAAATGTTTCCTAATTTTTGATAAATATATTGAAAATATTTGATCAAGTTTATTAACGCATTTGAGCAATTTTTGAGACTCCTTATGTTTTTATCAATATACTCAAATATTCTTTTGTAATTAAAATCCCATATTTTTGGTTATTCAATTTCAAACTCTTGTTAGTTTTATTACGTACATTAAAATATTATGTTAGTATTTTCATTTCTGAAAATATATTTTGCTTCTTAAACTTAAATCTTTCCTTTTTAGTGAATAATTTATGGAAGTACTCTGGACAGATGTTAATGAGATTAGGTACGCTTATTGGCAAATACAGTTAAAAAGAAATACTAAATGACAACTATTATTCACATTCATGATCATGCTTATGGCTCAGCAACACAAGAAAGACTAAATGAAGGGTTACATCATTGATAAAAATTTGGTTAGTTGGGTGCTTATTGGTTAATACGGTGTTCACTACAGGAATCTGTATTGGAGATGAAAACTTTTATGAGTCTATGTGTAATTTGACCCCACATTCCAGCAGCAATGCTGTTATTGAAAAAAGAGGGACCTCTGAAAGATGATTGTTATTGCTTTCCACAGAACATCCCAAAATATTATAAAAATGGTCTGAAAATGTAGCCGAGGTCAGTAATCCTCGAAAGATATCCTCTTTCCAAATATTGCTGACAAGACGAGCTATCAAAATAAAGCGAACGAAGCATGGAATTTGGCCCATGATTTTACAAAGCCTTTCATCCAAATATAAATCCCACACACACGCGTACATTTATATAATCGAAATTTAAAATTTACATCTTTAGAAGTATTATCTTTATACTTTTAAAACTTATTAGGCGTTTGTCAACTAAATAGATAAATTCGTTTTATTTTGCACACCATTGTAATATTTATTTTCTCGTGCATTATCTCTAGTTTATACATGCTACGTACTAATCTTCTGATACGTCAAATATATTAATGCATTATCTCTATAATTATATGATCGGAAAAAAATCATTCATCAAGTATTTTTTATGTATATATTTGTAGGGAATTTATTAGAAACTTTGTATGTGTGTGTGTGACGTTACTGGAAGCTAAACTTGTTAACATAATCAGACTTATGGTTTTAACGAATAATGAAGTATAATGAGCATTTTTTTCTCAAAACATTAACTAACGAAAATTAAATTATAAAACTCTATTGATGACAACTTGTGAAAATAGCAAAATATTATATTTCACCTTATTTAAATATCAGAAGTTACAACCAAGATGAAAGTTATAAATCAAAATTCTCATACAGTCTAAGATGGCTAATAATTATATTTATAAAAAGAACTAAATACACATGGAATTTCAGCTTTCCCAAAAATTAAAGGAAAATTCTTGGGCCCAAAACCCTTTTTATTGAATTAGATGGAACTTATTAGCTGAATGTTCTTGGCTTTGGAAGAACTCACACACATTTTACCTAACTTTTCTCTAAATTCTTTAAAAAAAATCTTTCTAAAAGTGATGCATGTTTTTAAACCCCGCGAATATTATAAAATAGTAAGTAATGTTTTTTTTTAAAGTTTTATAAGATTATATATAAATGTGATGTAGTTTATTTTCATAAAAGGAATCACATTAATATTGTATTTAAACATGCAAATAAAAGTTGAATGGAATAAAGAACTCACAGAGTGTATGTAAAGTCACATAAGTTTTAAGTTTAATAAGATTCTGAAAACAAGGAATTTCCCCAAATAGAACCATCTCAAGATTTAAAATAAATGAGTTTAATACTTATTTCCAATAAATTTCCTTTAAGCTGCTTAGGAGTTTAATATAAATGCTTAAATAATAAGATGTCTATTATTATAGGATTTAAATTTTTAACGATATACCATTTTAAAAGGTAGTTTATTTAAAAATTACAAAATAATACGAAATATTTTAATACTTGGAAGAAGAAAAAGAACGCAAAACAAATTGAGAAAATTCTAAAAAATTCTAAGTGCCATTAAAAATAAGAACAGGAAAATTTCTAGTTTTTTTTTTTTTCTAAATTACAGAAAATAATTGTTTTTAGGAAATTTATTATTTTCTTCAGAAAGTTACTTTTATTTTTTTCTCTTAAAAACAGTAAAATTTCCAATAAGCGTACTAGATTTGAAAGGGAAATTTAAAAAGCTTAAAATACACATTTTATTAATTTAAATAAAAACAGTGTCAACTGAGAAATTATGGTTCACATAAGACATAACAAGTTATATACTTATGACCTCAGAATTATTTTTTTAATATTTACATGAATTGTGTGTGAATTCCACACATCAATATATTACAAAACTTACAACTTGTACATATATTATTCAAATTTAGGACATAAATATTACCGTATGTTTTTATTAATGAACTCTGAAACATTAATGTTCATAATCTTTGGATCACTGAGCAATTTGGTGATCAGCAGTCCTAAAAGAAAAGTTATGAGCATTTAATTTATTACCCATAGATATATTTTATCGTAATTTTTGTCAAAAGCCTCTATGTAAAGTAATTTCTCAAGCCTTTAACTTTGCAGTTCAATAATATTAGTTATGTTAATAAAATTTTATTTTTCGGACCAATCTATTGAGCATGTTCAGCATAAAATAAAAACATATCGAAATTT